TTTCTTTTCTTTTCTTTGTTATCGTTGTTGTTGTTGTTGTTCAGTATGTTTCGGGTACTAGTTCAGAATATGATGTTGCTGTTGTTGTTGTTGTTGTTTTGTTGTTGTTGTTGAGTATGTTTCGGGTACTAGCTCAGAATATGAGATTACATTCGTGGCTACTTTTTTATCACTATTTCTTATTTTTCGTTTGTTTATGTTTCTTTTCTTTTAACGTTGAATGAAGAGGATAAGGCTTTGTTGTGGTGTTTGATCGATGGATTAGCTGCCTCTGCCTCTTTATATGTAGCATATCTCTTTAAGACAAACTTAAAGAGGATGTTTTAAGCGACTAGTTCCTGTGTATGAATTCGAGAACGCTCATCACTTAATCTCTCTTTTTAATTATTATTTTTTTTTTGTGTGGTTGGTGGTCAGGTTCATCATATTTCCGCTCCTCGTGGGATAATTAAATCTCCCGTTGCACTCGCCGGAAGTGTCATGGTGTCAGTGCCGGGGTCAGGAGGGGTCAGGTTGAATGGGGTCACCCGGAGTGCCACTTTGTTCTGGCTCTGTTTCTCTAAGGGGTGGTCGGTCTAGACTTTCCCTTCCCCTCTTCGCTTCCCTGTTTCTCCTTCTCTTCCTCTTATTATTATTATTGATTTTTTTCATTCCCCTTCCTTATATTTATCCTTCTTATACTTATCCTCTCTTCCTCTCCCTCTTCTCTCTTCTCTCTCTCTCCTCTTCCTCCTCCTCCTCCTCCTCCTCCTCCTCCTCCTCCTTTTTCCTACTTATCTACTATTTTTATTATTTTTTCTTGTCAATCGTTCTCCTTAAATAGTGCCTGCGATTGTTTATATTTATTTATATTTTTGATCATACTTTTGTACGTGTCCGAACGTGCGTTAGTTGATAACATCAGACCTGCCTTCGTTTCTGTTCAGACGGTAAACAAAGTGCAGTACATTTCCCGGCGTAGCAAAACGTAAGAAAGAAAAAGAGAAAAAAAAGGTTCTCAACAAAATGTAAAAAAAGAAAAAGAAGAAAAAGAAAGAAAAACGATCAAATAAAAGTGAGAAAAAAATATTAAAAGTTTCAGAAAAAAACGTTCTCGGTAAAAAAAAAACGTTCCCCCCGGAAAGAAAAAAACGTTCACCGGAAAACGTTCTTTGGTTCACGACTGGAATGTTGGGCGACGGCGCTTCGGTCTCCTTAGGGTAAACGGGCCCTATTTATTTCCGCTGTTGCGATTACCTTTTTGTTTTGCTGTTGTTCTCTTTCTTTGTTTCTGTGTGTTTCTCTTCTTTTTTTTTCCTCGGTGTATTTTCTTTCTGGTTTTCGGTCTCTCTCTCATTTTCGCTGTCTGTCTGTCTGTCTGTCTTTCTCTTTCTCTTCTCTCTTTCTTCTTTCTTCTTTCTTTCTTTCTTTCTTTTCTTTCTTTCTTCTCTCTTTCTCTCTTCTCTCTCTCTCTCTCTCTCTCTCTCTCTTCTCTCTCTCTCTCTCTCTCTCTCTCTCTCTCTCTCTCTCTCTCTCTCTCTCTTTTCTCTTCTCCCTCTCTCTTCCCTCTCCCTCATCCCTCTCCCTCTCTCCCTCTCCCTCTCCCTCTCCCTCTCCCTCTCCTCTCGTCTCCCTCCTCTCCTCTCCTCTCGCTCTCTCTCTCTCCTCACACTCATACCGAAATATTCGTTTATTCTCCATTTCCGCGAGTGAACAATGTAAATACTGTTCTGCACCTGTACTGAAAGAACGTTTTGTGCAAGGGGCTTCATCGCGTGAAAAATGCGACTGTAGTTTTCAAAGCGATTATAGCCTTTACAGACACACGGCACGCCTACTTGTTATCTTCGTAAAGTTAGAATGACGTGATGGGGGAAAAATGTATATATGATAAAGATGGTGAAAGGAATAGATGGATAGATTGATGGGGGAAATGTTTTAGAAATGACGTGAGGGGGGGGGGATATATATATTATATATATATAATATATATATATATATATATATATATATATATATATATATATGATAAAGATGGTGAGATGAATAGATGAATAGATTAATGGGGAAAATGTTTTTAGAAACAGATAAACGGATAGGTCAATATGAGGGGGTTCGAACCACCTTCTGACCTGCCGAGTTGCAATTGCGGCGGATTGCAGCAGCGCATCCGGGTCTCTGAAAAGCCACGGGTAGTTGGGCTTTCGCGGAGTCGGTAAGCCAGCGGCAGACACGGCTTAGGGATCCCGCTGTGGCTTTGGCTTTTGCGGCGCGAAGCCTCTCAAGGGACGCGCTCTCGCTCTCTCCTCTCTCCTCTCTCTGGCTCTTGTCTCGCGCTTCGTCGCTCTGCTTGTCGTTTTTTGTTGTTGTTGTTGTTTTTGTTGTTGTTTTTGTATTTTTTGGTTGTTTTTTTCCGTGTTTTGGTTCTCACGGTTCGCCTCCCCTTCTGTCGGGTTTTTTCGTGTTCTGGGTCGGATTTTTTGTTTTCTTTCTTTCTCTCTCTGTTTGTCTTTCTCGTTCACTCTCTTTCTGTCTCTCGTTCTCTCTGTCTTTTTGTATGTCGTCCCCCCCGCTCTCTCTCTCTCTCTCTCTGTCTCTCTCTCTCTCTCTCTCTCTCTCTTCTCTCTCTCTCTCTCTCTTCCTCTCTCTCTCTCTCTCTCTCTCTCTCTCTCTCTCTCTCTTCTCTCTCTCTCTCTCTCTCTCTCTTCTCGCTTCCTCCACTTGACGCCTCTTCCCCCTCACTAATTTTCCTCGTCTTTCTGTCGTCTCGTTTTCTTCCACTCTTCTCTTTGTCTCCGCCATTGGCTCGTTTCCCCTTTCGCACATTCTCCCATTGTCCTTTTGATCTCTTATTCGCACCGCGGTCTTTCGTATTCGCACAATTTTCTGTCTGCTCCATTTCTTTGGTCGTTTTATATGTGCCACTCGGGTCTTTTCTTTCTTCCTTTCTTTCTCTCTTTTCATTCTGTTTTTTTTTTTGTCTCTTTTCTTTACTCTTGGTTTTTTTGTTTTTTTTCCTGAATTATGTTTCTTTCATCTTGATGTTTTCTCTCTTCTATTTTTGTTGTTTGTTTTTCGTTTGTTGTGTTCGCCGTCTTTCTCTTCTATTTTCTCGTGTATTTCGCGGTCTCTACAGTATACTACAGCATATTTCCTGTTTAGTCATTTGCTTAAGTTAATTTAGTATCGCTACTTTTATGGGTACTTTTAATTTTTATTTTTTTATTTTTTTTTTTTTTTTTATTATGTATGATTTGTATTCGTTGTCGTCAAATTCATCACCACCACTATCATCTTCATAATCATTATGATCACTATCATCATTTTTTTTTTTTTTTTTTTTTTTTTTTTGGTATTATGGTGTCATCATGAGTTTTATTATTCAAATTATTATTAATACCTGAATTTATATATATATTATATATATATATATATATATATATAATATATATATATATATATATATAATAACCATGGCTGATATTATATGGCTTCCTTTTTTCGTCGGTGAAAAAATTGTGATTTTTTTTTTTTTTTTATTATCTTCCTCCGCTTCGTATTTACTGTCGATTTATTGTTTAATTCTACTGTTCCTTTCCAATTACACTGTACTATCATATACGCTAACGGAGCGACATATTATTTAATAGGGTGCGATGTGATATAATGTGATATGACATAATTCCTCTCCCATTTTCTCCCCTCCGTCCAATCTACTCCAGGTCTTTTTTTCCTTTGGGCGCCTAACGATATCCTATATTCTTCACTTACTTTGTCTTTGATGTTAACCCATCTCCAGCCCCTCCCCTCCCCTCCTCTCCTTCCTCATTCCTTCCCTCCCTCCCTCCCTTCCCTCCCTCCTTTCCTCTCCTTATCCCTCTCCTACTATCCTCTCTTCTCCCTCCTCCTCCTTTTTCTCTCGGGTTCACCACTTCTCTTCTCCTCTCTTCCCCTCTCCTCTTTTCCTCTCTCTCCTCCTCCCTCCTCCTCTCCTTCCCTCCTACCCTCTCCTCCTCCCTCCTGCCCTCTCCTCTCCTCCCTCCTTCCCTCTCCTCTCCTCCCTCCTTTCCCTCTCCTCTCTCTCTCTCCTCCCCCTCTTTCCCTCTCCTTCTCCTTCCCTTCCCTTCCTCTTCTCCCTTCTTCCTTCTCTTTCCCTTCTTTCCCCTTTCTCCTTCCCGATAATCAGGTCCGCTCTTGTATCTTACTCCGCTCTTATATCCCCATTCTCTTTTGTTATACGATAACTCTTGTTCTCCGTGTCTCGTTCTCCTTGCTTCTCATTATCTCTCTTTATCTCTCTGTCACTTTCTTTCCATCTCTCTCCCTCCCCCCTCCCTCCTCCTCTCTCTCCTCTCTTCCTCTGTAAGTATGTATGTTTATATCTAACTATCCCTACCTCCATCTCTTTATCTCTCTATCTCCATATCCTTCCCTCCCTCCCTCCCCTCTATCTCTCGATATCTATGTTTTTTAACTGCTATCTCTCCTCTATAACGTTTTTTTCTCTCTCTTTTCTCACTTCTTTTAAATATATGGGAAAGGAAAAAAAATGTATTTTTATCGTATTTCGTAACACCGTGCATTAGTTTTATCATTAAAAAAAAGTTTCATATCCTTAAAAAAAAAAAAAAAAAAAAAAAAAAAAATCGTTATGAAAATTACCAAACCCGATATGAGCGAAGTTTATGTAATGGCTATATTTTTTTTACGTTTGTCTTCGGCGTAAAATTGATGCGACTGCAGTAGATTCTAAAGGCTTGTCCCCCCCCACACCCCCCCCACACTCCTCCGTCCCCACCTGTGCCCGGATACCCACACGCTTGGCTTCCTGTACACTTGTAAATGCACCCGCAGAACGTAAGCAAAAGTGTGAATTATAAAAGTAGTGGAGTTCTGTATCTCACTCTTTTTATTTTGCGTTTTCTTCCAGTGTTTTTGTTAGATGGAAAGATTAACTGATTAAGGACACGTAGACTGAGAGAATACATTGACTATCTCAATATTTATCTATTAACTCCATAATGCTGGCTTGTGTATGTCACCCATCTCGTGCGCACAATCTCCCACGCCCTCTAGAGCCAGTGCACCGCCCGCGCCCACGACACGCGCCAGCCGCCCATGCCTCACATTTTGCTCACGACGCCTATAGCACCTCTGTGTTCGACTTCATAACCTATAACTGTGACAATTATAATAGTAATGGCTCCGGCGTCGTAGAAAACGGAAAAGGCGAGAATGAAG